TAGCGAAGATTTTCTTATCAGTGGAATGTGCAATTTACAGCACCAGGGCCTCATTAATGTCACATAAGACTTATTGATTTCCTCTATAGATTGGTTTAGGCCTAGTCTCCGCTTGTTTGGGTTTGGTCTTTTATGATCCCTTTGTTTCAACTGAGAAACAGAAATAGGAACTTGATGTCTGGGTTCCCTGGCACATTTCTTAGTCTGTTAGAAATGTGGCCAGGTTGGACAGAAAGTGTTTATTTTAAACTTTATGTTGGATTTTTTTAAACAAAAGTCAAGCAACTCTCTAGGGAGTCGCCGTGGCGTAACAGCTAGGCGCTCGCGTGCCGATCGGAAGGTTTTTTTTAAAATGATCTTAACTCCCAGCTCGACCCGGCCTTGAGTGGGTACTGGGTGCAGTCCCGGAAAGTAAAGGCGGCTGGCATGATGCTGACCACATCACCTATCTTGTATCGATTACTCTATAAAAATATAGGTCTAGCCCTATATGCCTAGAGGCATGGAAAAGGGACCTTTACTTGAATACTTTTTTTTAAAGCAACATTCTTATGCCATTGGTGCATATTTTTGAAGTAAGTGGCCATGGATAAGTGATGTGATCAACATTAATCTGGCTGCCTTTTCTCCCCAGAATATTTTTGTGCCTAATTTAGACCGGATTTTTCTTCTTCTGCTTCTACTTTAGCCCCAAAAAATGCTGGGGTTGGTCCTGCAATGTCCTGTAAAGGATAGGTAGTTCTGGTTGTTTGCCTACCTCTGGAATTTAGTCTTGATCTGGAACTCGAGTTTTGCCTGCAGATCCATTTAACAGATATGGCTTAATTGTTTGCAGACTGCTGGTTCCTCATCTGTCAGACAGATGCACTCTGAATTGGACTCCCCAAGGGTTACCAAGAAACCTACATAGGGAAGACTGGGTTTAAAGGTGGATTAATTTAACTGCTCCGAGTAGGATTCCATATGGGTCTGCCTCTTCCATTGAGCAGCTTTCACCTGCTGAGAGCCTCACACAAAGCATGAGGCTGTTTCCGGTGACAACCCCTATAGATCTCTAAAGCCTGCACTCATGAACCAAACAATGGAGTGCAAAACCAAACTGGCAACTGTCAGAGCATGAAGCTAACGGCTTAACCATTGTTAGACAACCTGTCATAACCTAAAATATGCAAAAGCCTAACACTTCACATTCCTGCAGTAATAACACCCATGAGATTACCATACCAGAGAAATGAATAAATTGCGACTCCCAAGTCATTGCCAGTTTTTTCAGGGGAGGCTATGCTCTTTTGCTATCACTCTCCGAGCTGTGTTGTAATTACATTTTAGCACTCTTGGGCATTTGTAGCCAGATTGTGTCAAGATAAATATTGTGGGGAAATTGTTTTCCCTGTATTGATTTTGTGGGGCCAAGGTTGTTTACTGAAGACTTGTAGCTCTTGTGTGTTTGTCACAGTGAAGTGCAGGGTCACATGGTATCTTGGTAGCTAGTTAGGTTTAGGTTTAGACGACGGATCAACATCCTGGCACAAGGGTAGTAACACAAAAGTGCTCCATTCTACTTCTGACTCGAGTCCGAAGAATCTCAGCTCTGTGCACGAACTCTAACACCGGCGATGTTCCTGAAATACTTTGGGTAGATTTTTAACCCCAAAATGTTGGCCGGGCAGCGCTGTTAGGCTACTCTTTTTCGATTTCTGCCAAGGGATATTTTACGAGCGCGACAATACAAGCGGGCGTCTAATCTTACTAGCCAGAGACCAGGGAAAATTACTAGAAGTCCAAGTGGAAAAAAAAAACCAGCCTTCACCGAGGCTTGAATCCGCAACATCCAGCACTCAAGGCAGACACCATGCCTCAAGACCAGGCAGCCTCCACGTTGTAGTTAGTGTGGTTTGTTATTGTTTCGCTTATATATCTGTGTTTTTTGCAGTTTTTTTTTAAAAACTGGTTGGCTAGCAGTTTATGGTGATCTGAGGTTTAATCTTCAATAGTGCTGTGAAATGAGATGTTTGAGAATGGCTGCGAATAAAACCAGAAGAGATCGAGTGAGAAACGATGTGATTACAAGAACTATTGGAACCATACCCATCGTTAAATTTATTGAGAAGCAAAGAATGAAATGGTTTGGTCACCTAATGAGAATGGAACCAACGATGCCAGCATCAAGAGCATACAACATGAAAATCGAAACACCAAGAGGCAGGGGAAGACCAAGAAGAAGATGGATTGAAGGAGTCACGGACAACTTGAGACTTCATAACATCACGGCATATGAAGCGACTGAGCGCGCCCTGGCTCGGTTGCCGATCATCTGATAGACTGCGACGCCTAGCGGCACAAGCAGATTTTGACAAAAAAAGAAGTGCTGAATTCTTTTTCCAGACATGTGCAGCTGAAGGGTCCGCACTGCCTTCTCAAATGTCTTGGCAACTGGCTTTGAGAATCCCTCATTTTCATGAGGAAATGTATCATATCATTAGAAAACAGGGATTCACATCATATGATTGGTCAATCAGTTTGTAACATACAGGCTAACACTTAAAAGATATACTGTACGTTCCCGAGATTAAAGAATCTTAATCAGGATGGTAGACATTCATGACAGATCCCAGGTACCTTGTTCAAACTCCTAAGAAGTTACTTTAGGGCACCCATAACGGTTACTGAGACGAGAAAGAGAATTCTTAAAAGTTATAAAAATCCTGTCTTGATATATGGAAGTGAATCATGGACATTTGGTAAATTGGTGAAAACTTTTTTGGAAGCTGTAAAGATGCGGTTTTATAGACGAATAATAATACCCTAAACAGATAAAAAGAGTAATGAAGATGTCTTGAAAGAAACTTACTCACGAAAAAAACTGATTGCCCACATCAGAAATAGACAATCTACATTCATTGGTCATGTGATGAGAAGGAGAAAACTGGAATATATCGTGACAGCGGGAAAGTTGGAGGAGAGGAAAGTCAGAGGGAGACAGAGAGAAAAGATCTGTGTCACAGTTGATTGACAGTACACGAGACAGAAAGTTGTGGATAGACATGACTACCAACACCACACAGAGTTTAAAAAATAAGAACAGTTTCACCCGAAGGGAAGAAGAAAAACGGTTACACCCACCAGCTGTAACCTGTAGGCTGTAAGGACGATCATAATATTAACCTTCCTTGACACCTGGTCTGGGAGGGAAGCTCTGGCAGTCAGACTGACTGATCTTTGCTCTTCTAATCTGACCATTTCTGTAGCTCGCTTTATTCTGAACATAAAATGCATTTTAAGTGCCGGACTGCCTGTGTTGGCACTTCTGACGGTTGCCGTATGCACTTAATGCAGTGTAAGCTGTTGGCTTTGCCGAGACTGCAGTCTATGTCCCATTTAAAAAAAAAAATAAGGGACAGTGATTTACATTCTGTGGGTTTTCCTCGGCACAAAAACGCAACAGCTGTGGGGGTGACCTGTTTGATGTGTGATACTGGAACTGCGATTACCTGATTCTAAACATACTGGCTTTCCCTTTAATTAATGGCTGATATTGCTACTGCACCTCTCTGTAGAATAAGCAGGTGTCATCCTCTCTCTCTCTCTGGCCGTGCATCACAGAATTGTTTCCCTTTGTGTGGGGCCCTGGGTTTTAAAGATGGACTCGCTAACCCCCAACAAGCAAGTTGTAAAAGGTGAATAATTAATTAGGAGTTTACTCAAAGCGGTTGTGTGTAGCTAAAAGTATAGGACCCCCCCCCCCCCCCCCCCCCCCCCCCAGCGTGTCGTAAAAGTCAGCTAATTATGGATGTTTCTTTTAAGTCAGAGTGCCTGGTGTCTATCTGTTTTACAGACCTGGCTTAATTTGTGCAGATTGTTAGTACATTGTCTTTCAGGCAGATACATTCTAATTTCAGTGCAAGGGGTGGGGCTTAATAAAAGCATGAATAACCGCCCGGTCAAAGTGGTAACCACCGGGTCAAAGTGGTAACCGCCCGGTCAAAGTGGTATTGAATCTCTGGCACCGATTTCTTTTAGTGTCATACATACTTCTTGAGCCCCAGGATATAAATCTGGGGACTGTGATTGACAGTTTAGATCCTCTGACTTGATCAGTGATTGCACTTCATGCCAGGAAGTTTTGTTTATCTAAAACTGCGCTGTCAGACAGCAGGGGTGCCAAAATTGTTCCGTCTTAGTGGGTGACGAGCACTGCGTTGTAAAAAGTTCAGAGTTGGACTGAAATCCGAGCTGCATTTTCTGTTACCGTTATCGTTCATTTGCGTGTGAAGTAGCTGTGTAGATTTTTAAAAACTGTAAATTTGTTTTAAAAAAAATTTTTTTTTTTTTTTTTTTTTTTTTTTTTTTTGAGGCATCTGTGACAGCATTCCCTTTTTTAGATATATGTAATCTTTATTTTCTGTTGTGTCTATTGGATATCTTTATTTTTCTTACATTTATCTGGACCTGTTATTATTTAACATGGGACTGTTTTCTTGTATTTTTTATATTTAGGCATTTAAGCTTCTTCATTCTTCCTGTTTTGTCCAACTGCTTGTGTCATAAACATAAAACAGAGCAGAGAGAAGTTATATTCTATAGGAATGGTTTGATTCTATTACTATTGTTAACAAATTTGTTTGCCGTTTAATCAGTTGTGACATTTATCCTTTTGTTATAATCGGTTACAGTTCACAAATGTTTCAACTTTGGAATTAAGCGCAACATTTTTTCTGGCACATATGGATCCAAATCATGTTAATTCTGGTGCCCAAAGAAATGATTTGCTTACAGTGTATCATCCAGACGAAGTATAGTTCCCTCTGTTGAGCTTTCTGTTCAGTTTTTGTTTTATTTAGTATTTATTAACCAGGCTTGGAATAGCTTGTTTGCCAGGTTGGCTTTAGGTTGTTGTTGTTCTTTTCTCTACTCTTAGAATGCCTCGTGGTGTCAGAGCAGTAAGAAATCTCTTAAATGTGCCCTTCTGTTCACTTCGTATAGGTAGTTAACCAAGCATAATGAACTTCAAACATCAGCATAGATTTGCCGCGCCGCGTACATTGAATGAGCACATGGTCATTTTTGGCAGCACCAGGCCCATCTGGAAGTACTGGGCCAATAAAAATGAGAACATTTACAGAAATCAGTACAGGCTGAAGGAGTACGTGCAGTTTCTGCCACCAGTTGACTTGGGCTGGAGAGCAGAACCGGTGGTGGGGTCTTTGTCGAATGTGGAGTATCGGCCAGGAGGTGGGGACAAAAAAATATTCAGCGAGAGGCTTCACTGGAGAGCAAACGCAAAAATTGGATCTTTAGATAGTAAAGAAAGTAAATTCACAGTTGGTCAGAGCAGTTCTTCTGATGATTGGGGTGCTGGTTCCCCTCACCACCACATCGTGTCGAGCAGTAGGAATGGTGATTTTGTGAAAAGAAAGCCTTATGAACATATTGAACCAAAGGTTGGATCGCTGGATAATATCGGCCATGTTCCTGGAGGCGGACATTTTCAGATACACAGTCAGTCCCCCAGGTGGAAGAAGGAATCAAAAATTGGTTCTCTTGACAATATCGACCATAATCCACAGAAAAGCAATGTGCAGATCACTCATCGAAGATTAAATTGGCATGCCAAGCCTAAAATTAGCTCTCAGGACTATAGCCGTCTACTGCCAAGAACTTTAGAACGAAATAGTTATGATTTTAAGCAGACGCAGGGCATTTTTCCTCGAACTGATTATCTCAGGAACAATTATGTTCCAGTGGGCGGAAGTTTAAACATTCCTAGCAGAAATTTACCGCGAAAAGGAGAATCCACATGATATCTGCAGTTAGAAAATGAACGTAAGTTGTTGCTAGTATTGTATTGTAAATCTTCTTCTTCTGCTACTACTACTTGTGCCTTAGAGGGTGTGAGACCTTCAGGTATCAGCCTGGAGGGGACAGATGGCTTGTAAGGACTTGCAAGCGTTGAACATATGACTGGCCGCTTTACTTTGCTGGAGATGGCAGAGTAGGTCAGCTATGAGTGCTTGTTATTGGCATTAACACTGTTTTAACTGGTCACTTTATTCCCTGTTGTTGCCTCACCCCCCTTTTTTTTGTCACATTCTTTATCACATCCCCATTTTTTCTCCCCTTATCTTACTGTTTACCTCATACCATGTTTTGTCACATCCCATTTTTTTTACATCCATATTTTGTCACACCCCATGTATTGTCTCTTGCCATATTTTGCCTTGTTCTCATGTTTTTGCCGCATTCCCATGATTTTTACCTTATCCCATGTTTTCTCCCATGCCATGATGGCAGATTTAGTGAGCTATATGGGGGGCACACTGAGTGTTGGCATATGTGCTGCTTCAACCAATTATCTTGTCTTGTGTTGTCTCCTCCCATGTTCTCTCTCCTCCCATGTTCTCTCTCTTCCTATGTTCTCTCTCTTCCTATGTTCTCTCTCTTCCTATGTTCTCTCTCTTCCTATGTTCTTTCTCCTCCTATGTTCTCTCTCTTCTCCTGTTCTCACTCCTCCTATATTCTCACTCCTCCTATATTCTCTCTCTTCCTATGTTCTCTCTCTTCCTATGTTCTCTCTTTTCCTATGTTCTCTCTCTTCCTATGTTCTTTCTCCTCCTGTGTTCTCTCTCTTCTCCTGTTCTCATTCCTCCCGTATTCTCTCCTCCTGTATTCTCTCTCCTCCTGTGTTCTCTCTCCTCCTGTGTTCTCTCTCCTCCTGTATTCTCTCTCCTCCTGTGTTCTCTCTTCTCCTGTGTTCTCTCTCCTCCTGTGTTCTCTCTCCTCCTGTGTTCTCTCTCCTCCTGTGTTTTGTGTTTTCTCTCTTCCTCTGTTTTCTCTCCTCCTCTGTTTTCTCTCCTCCTCTGTTTTCTCTCTTCCTCTGTTTTCTCTCCTCCAATCTTCTCTTTCCTCCTATGTTCTCACTCCTCCTACATTCCTACTTATCCTATGTTCTTTTTCCTCCTATGTTCTCTCTCCTCCTATGTTCTCTCTCCTCCTATGTTCTCTCTCCTCCTATGTTCTTTCTCTTCCTATGTTCTTTCTCTTCCTATGTTCTCTTTCCTCCTATGTTCTTTCTCCTCCCATGTTATCTCTCCTCCTATGTTTTTTCTCCTCCTATGTTCTCTCTCCTATGTTCTCTTTCTTCTTATGTTCTCTCTCCTATGTTCTCTCTCCTCCCATGTTCTCATTCCTCTAATGTTCTCATTCCTCCAATGTTCTTACTCCTCCTATGTTCTCTCTCCTCCCATGTTCTCACTCCTCCCATGTTCTCTCTCTTCCCATGTTCTCTCTCTTCCCATGTTCTCTCTTATCCCATCTTTTGTCTCATGTTTCCTCTTCTCGTGTTTAGTCTCATCCATATTTATGTTTATTTTTAGTACAATTATTACTCAGCCAATTAAAACGTGATTATATTTCATGTTTTCATTTTTTCTTCTTCTGTTTTTCTGCAGGTTGAGGTGCAAAATGGCGCAGCTTCTGAGAACTGAGCAGACGGTTTCTGCACATAGCTTTTATAGTAATCTAGCCATAGCGACCACATGACAAGCCAGCCAATCATTCACAAGCGTTGACAAATCCAGCCACAGACATGAAGGCAGGCCTTCACGGTACTATCCTGCCTCAGTTTGACTAGAAACACTGCTGCCATTTGGTTTTAAGGGATATTTTTTAACTGTTTCAATCAAATAAAATTGCCTTTTCATCAATAAGGAAAGATATTAAGGTTTCATAATTAAAGCCTCTTTTAAAACCCTAATTACGTCAACAAATGCAGCTATTGAAATTTGGGAGAGGGGGTCGAAAAAAACAGAGGTTTAGTTTTTGTAAGAAACGGGGAAAAAAAAAACTGTTTTTAATACCTTACAAAGATTTACAAGAATTCTGATAATGTAATATTAGTGACTTTTCAATTTCAGTCCTTTAGTTTCAATGTTTTTTGAGGCAGTGACCCGTTTATTTTATTAATGTCTGAGAACTCTGCACACCGTTTTAGATTTGAAAATTCCTAGGTGAAGGACTGAAAAAGTTTGCCCCTCGAATGTTCCGGGTGGTCGCACAGACCATCAACAGTGGTCCTATGGCTACCTGAATAATTTTTTGAGATATTTTGTGAATGGTGACATTTATTAAGGAATCTTACAGTGTACTTTTCTTCCGTGGTGCGTCTGCAGCAAATGTGCTGAATTGTTATTATACTACAGCCTCACTCAGTGATACCATTTCTCCAGCATAGTCAAGCCTGGTTGGTGTATTTTCATGTTATGTTCATACATTGCAAAGCTTTTTGTGGGCCTTTCTTAATTGCAGATTTTTGTTTTTTTATTTCCCAGAATGATAACATGTGATTGTTTCCGTGTACGCTATAATGAGCTTTGAAAGGTTGTCGATATTTTGCTTTTGTGAATAACATAAACGTTGTCAATTTGTATCATGCTGTTATGTTGGGCTTTTTGTTTTTTCAACGCCGATGCATTGTCCTTGCTACTTAGTGTTTTTAACTGTTCAATAAAAGTCAGTGATTTGATTTAATCCTTGATACCCGGAGAAGTTCTAGGTTAAAGTAGCAGCCATAAAAGCAGTCCACACAGGAAAAAAAAAACTCGTCAGCCTCAGTACCATAGACATGATTGACAAAATGAACATAATTCATGATTGACAAAATGAACATGATTCATGATTGACAAAATGAACATCGCGGCTAGAAAGCATTCTTCAGTTAAGGCATGAACAGACAGCGGTACAGCTGCTTCAAAAGAATGCAAACGATAATTTAGTTTAGTTTTATGGCTAAGCCGGCCACAGTTTCCAGCCATGTTTGAACAATAGAGGCTCTGTGTACACATGTCATCACAGGAGTCGGATCATAAGTTTATGCGACGACATGGAGTCAGATAATAAACTATGCGACAACGTGGAGTCAGATCATAGGTTTATGCAACATCATAGAGTCAGATCACAAGTTAATATGACATCATGGAGTCATGTGATAACTTTATGCGACATCATGAAGTCAGATAACTTAATGTGACCACATAAAGTCAGATCGTAAGTTTGTGCAACGACATGGAGTCAGATCGTAGGTTTGTGCAGCGACATGGGGTCAGATCATAAGTTTTTTGCGATGACTTGGAGTCAGATAATAACTGAAGTCAGATGATAACTTTATGCAACAACATGGAGTCAGATCGTAAGTTTACAATAGCCATAATGTGAATCAAGAGAAGTTAATAAGGGTAAAACAAACAGTTGAGAGTAGTGAGTTAATTAATTTAACAGTAACTTGCAATAGAAGGGAATTACAATTCTGTATTATTGTTGGACTAACTCATAAACATCTGCTGTTTGATCGTACTGACAGAGCTATACTGTAGGATGTCCCACAATTTGTCCATACGCAAGAAAACTACTAATGTTTTGAAACGCATTTTGATGCGTATCCTCCGTTACAGAAGAACGTTTATAAGCACGGCCTGAGTTATGCTTGTAATGGCGTTGGTCGTGTGGTTTTTTTTCTCTTATGTATTTATGAAAACAGAGGGGACAACCTGTAGAAACATGTTTATACGTGAATGTTTCATGATCATTTGAGTTTGTGAAATTAGTCTGTTCAGTTAGAGGGTACCTGAATTCTTGAAGTTATATGCCAGATAATTAACCTAGGTCGATGGTCAAGTTTTGAATATCCTGGCTCCATTTCTTTTTTAATCTTCCCTTTCTTGCCGATTAATTTAACCTTGCAATTTTAACATGACATTTCCTTGCTGTAAATTCTCTTATCATGGTGCATTTTCATTGAATGTGTGTCCTTGCTCTTATTATTTTTTTGTTTTTTAAATATATTGACTGTTGAAGAATTTGATTATGACAGTTTTTATCACCATCTATTACTAATCATAGAAGTTCAAAATTGGAGTTGCTTATATTTAACTTTTAAAAATTTATAGATATATCTCACATCACTGCTCTTATTTTAATCTACGACTGGGATTTGGGCTTTGTGCCGAGGAAAAAACTGGTCATTTGGCCAGTTAATACTGCTGAAGAAACATGACTGTTGCTAAACAGCAGTCCTGGCATAATCGTTTGATTGTCAGATACCCATAAAGATCACAGAATTACATATTTTATTTCATGTTTCCCTCAAACTTTCTAAGAACAAATATTTGTGCAAAAGATTGATAAAACTCCTGATTTGTTCAAATCCGCGGCCAAGTTAAGAAAATTAAGATATCTTGTTTCCAAAATGGGGGGGGGGGGAGCTCGTTTCATTTTCCGATTTATTTTTAGTTAAACTAAAGGAAAGCAAATAAGATAAAAAAATCGTTCACAAAAATCAAGCATCTTTACAAATGATATATGCATAGAAATGAATAAGATGTCGCGGATTAGGATTACTTGTCCTGGGTCTTATCTTCTCACTGTAGTTTTAAAGTTATTGATGGAGAAATTTACACAAGTACAGGCAAGAAACATGTCTGAAATACCCTGCCTTATTCTTCTTTATACAGTATACGTTTGGTTATATCTTAAGCTTGGCTCTCATGTCTTTTCAGCACATAATTTCCCTTCTCATTTTTACTAGTATTTAGTTATTGCAAAACTTGGCATCAAGAAAGGCGTGGAAACATTGTTTGTATCACTTACTGCTGCTTACAGTGATAATGTAAATCCTTTACCAATAAGATCTGTAAACCTAAGTCAGTTTTGAGTTTTGTGCTTTAGCCTTCATAGAAATGATCCAGTTTTTTTTTTTTTTTAAATCTTTTTATTAAATGTTGAGAAAACTACAAATTATGGGTGGTCT